ACAAGTCATGCAGAACACATACTGTAAACGAAACAGCACATGAAGTAACACACTAAAATGAAATAAAGTCAGACCAGAATCAAAGCAAGTTATCTTCTCTGCTAGCCTTTTGAAATCAAGGTCTTCAGTTACGAAGCTTAAGCTTCAACCAAAACACTCTACTTCTGATAGCTTCGTGCCCCTGTTCCTTACAGAAACATTGCCAAAAACCAAAGGAAGGCAAAAGGATCACTTGAGGTATGAGGATTTCACTGGTGCTTCGCTATCTACAGATTTAATTCAGATCACTCTGTTTCTCTATAGTGAATTAAAAAGCCCTAGGCAATGCTGCTTCTGAATTTAGCTTACGCCCCATCACCATCAGGGTTGCATGTTCAAAATTGTCATAAAGTGTGCTGCAGAAATATCCACCTTACCTAAACTTGCTTTAAAAGGTTTTGCTAGTGTAATATGTAATTCTTATCATGGATTACTATAATACCCACTTCTCTGAGAACTGCGAATGCACTAGAGAAGCAAGTATTTGGAAGAAATCAAAACTTGTTTTGGAACATATTACTTCTTCATAAATAAAGTTAATCCTCAAAATCAGACCCAAAACTATAAAGTTTCCTGACTTAGGGTCTTTAGAATTTTGACTAATGGATTTGTTTAGTAGTATGCTAATGGTCATACTAAATTCAGATTGCATTTGAATGTAAGATGACCTCGGCTTTGCTGAGATGAAGTGCATTCTGAGAAGAATCTGCATTTGTTTTGAGGGCATCTAATTCTACCCTAGGAAGTGTTATGCTGCCCTCAGATAAGAAAAGACAGCCCAAATATCTTTTTGATGGTAAATAAGTTAATTTTATATGCACGAAATGATAGTCTTCCGCAATTCAAATCACTGTACCCATAAAATAACAGTATTCTTGTTTTCATATCCTATTTCTAAAAAGAGGCTGTTTTAGCCTCTGCATGACACTGCACGACACTGAGGTAAGGGAGAACATTTTCCCTTGTGTCTTACCATTCCACAAACACACATTTTGGCATTTTATTGACCACAGCCAGAATGGACACAGTAAAAGGCAGTTAGGAAGCCTTATCCTGCTGGCATTTGAAGACCCAACTACATAACAGCCACAAACAGAAGAGGCACCTTCTCTGCACAGAAAGACCAGCAAAGCCTGAGTGTTCTTTCTAAGAAGGCGATCCAGTCTCAACTACAAGGTAGTGCTCCACAGAGAGCAAAGACAATCTTATTGCAGCAGCAAAAAGGCATACAAAGAAATAATCTCACATAAATTCCCTCAGCTGGGCTACAGCCAGCATGGTGCAGTTTGTTCCTCACCACGCTGGTACAAAATAAGCTGCTTTGGCTCAGAAGCCCTTGAGAACTCCATCTTTCCTCACCGCAAGAATCCACATTACCTAGACTGGGAAAGAGAATAGGCCTTTTTAAGACACTCAAAGACAGCAGAGGACAATACTGTCCCTGCAGGACACTGGGTTAACAAGGAAATACTCCCTTACATAGAAAAATCCTGACTAATGTAGATTAATAGCATTCTCAACAAAGCCTGATCACAAAGGTACAAACATATTTACCTGCCCATTCCTGACCCCTCATTCGATAGGTCCATTTTTAAGCAAAAGTTATCTTTCCAAGTCCTTCATTTAATTCCAGATATCCAGATGCCTAAGGAACTGTTCTAACTTGACCTGTCTCCTCATTACAGAAAAATCCTGTTACTTTTCATATTTCTGCCTAATAAGCATAGCTTTTGCCCCAGTATCTCTGAAACATTTGGGATTATACAATGCAGAGACAGCTTAAACCAGGCCCCAGAACTTGATCTTCCAGTGTTATTCCAGAAAAAGAACCAAGGCT